TAATTTTAAAATATATTGGGGTGATGTAAAAAGAACTCAGATGTGTTATGCACATGTACCAATACCCCATGATGAATGTAGTCATTATGTACTGCAAACATTTACTATTAAAAATTTTAAAAATAAAATGTTCCAAGACATGACAGTTGCTTATACTCTCCTGCATATTCTAAAAACTGAGTTGTGCATGTTAGGTACACTTTATGGTATGTGATTTATATATCAATAAAGCTATTAAAAATTTTAAAATCTATGACCCTGAAGTTTTAAAAAGGAGGTAAAGGTATAGTAATTTTTTTAGTACAGTCTCTGAATTTGGAGAGTTGGGATGACTTTTGTTTATACTTCCCTGGATTTTCCAAGAATTTATATTTTTAAAATTGAAAAAAGAAAACATTAAGTGTTACAGAGATATAAACTCACCCTGTACCCCAAATAACAACAACATAAAAGCTTCCAGAAGTCCAAGAGCATGGTTTGTAGGAGAAGCGAGGTCTAGTCTGTCTCCTCTGACAATGCTGCTAGAGGTAGAAATCTGAAATGGTGGTGAGCTGGTGAAGAAGCAAGGGAATTTGGTAAGAAGCTGATGTTAAGGGACACACTTGAGATCCTCACAGAACTGTTACAAGCAAAGCAGTACACAAGAAAGGTGATTTTTGCATCCTTGGTCTGAATAAATTGAAAAAGCTAAATAAATTGTGACAGTTGCAGGTGTGGTTCTGAAGTGCTTATTGTCTTATCCAGGGTTAGTGGCAAGGACAAAATAAAATGGTGACTCTTAAAGTGTTTCAATGGGGGTGCAGGGATTAAAGATGTCACAAAACTACTCACGTGGAAGAGCAGAAGTCCCCTTGACCCAGACAAGCCCCAGATAAGCTGGCCGAGGGACAATTTTGATGGAAAAGCTGTACACATGATATGCAGACTACTACCACATTCAGAACCAGAATTTTTGCATTCAGATTTTAACTCCTACTCACTATCTGACCTTTGTAAAAATGCCTGATGTTTCTGAACTTTGGTTTCCTTTATTTAAAAATGCAAAATATCAATATCCACTTCACAGGGCTGTTTTAATAATTAAATCAGAAAGTACACTAACACAGTGGGCATACTGCCTGGCACATGCTTCTTAACAATGTTTCCCATATACCATCATAACTGGGGGCCTAGTAAAGGAGTCACAGGATGTCCTGGTACATTTTTTTTTTTTTGCAACTTCCTGTAAGTCTGTATTTCAAAATAAAAGTTAAAGAATGCACTAGCTGCCTTGTGCATGAACTGTACTGTTATCACATTAAAACTTTCCTTACTAAAGGAAGAACTCAAGGATAGGTAGACACGCACTTTTATTACAAGGAGTTACACAGGAGTAACAGTAGAACGGAAACAAATTCTTTCCCATCATGGAGTGAGAGAGCATGTGAATAGGAAGGGAACTTGCAATCAAGGCAGGACTTAACCCTGCACTTATCTGGGTTTTCTTGGTCCAACCTGACCCCTCCATCTGAATTTAGAGTGCAAACATTTCCTCACCACATACTCTGCCAGACACTGTTGGGGGGAGGGGCTCTTCCACACTGTTCTAATCTGCCACCAATGTGTTTTGCATTCTAAGAAAGAGAAGGAAAATTAGCACTGCTGGTGTCTTAGTTACCTTCTCATTACTGGACAAAATAACTATAAAGCTTACATTTTATAGAAGTTTTAGTTCATAGTCAACTGACTCCAAGGCAGAGGAGGATGGCAGGGGCCATCACAGAGGAGAAACAGTCCATGGCAGGGCAAACAGCAAGAAGCAAGTGCTCAAGGCAGGAGGGATGCATATTTACCCATGCCACACCCATCGTGACTCACCTCCCACTAGGCTTCACCTCCCAGCACCATCCCACATATACAATGGACTAATCTAATATCACATGCCCATGATTCAGTCGCATACCTAAACCCCTACCTGTGAGCGCACAAAGCTTTGGGGATCACCTAGATACAAGCCATAACAACTATTTCCATACAGCCAACATTCACCACTTACACACCTTGGTTCTCTAATGAAATTCAATGCATGGAACAAACTATTGATGCCCTACCTTGGCTGGAGTAGCTACAGAATTCCTCCTGGAGAAAACTGTCAGCTCTGCTATCCTGCAGTATTGTGAATAGCATGGAGTATTCACCACAATGGATAAGAAACAGGGCTTATTTTCCCTTGTCCTCAGTGTACAGTCATGGTTCTAGCAGGATGCACAAGTCTCTGCTGACAAGGTTGGAGCTATGGCTGATGAGCACTGGTGACCATGGAACAGAGCTGATGTCCTGGTACATTCCAGGAGTGGCCTAGAGCTCTTGTCAGTGCAGAACAGCAGCCTGTGTAGAAACAGCTGGACCAAGAACCACTCCGTAGCTGCTTTGTCTCCATTTCCTGCCTTCCTTCCTTCCTCTCTCTACTTTCTTTCTTCTCACTCTCCTTCCTTTTCCTTTCCTCTCCCTTCCTGAGGACCTAAGACAATGCATTTTTACTTGATGCAAATAAAAAGAGGTCTAGTATTGTAGCCAAGCAATGGGAACAAAAGATGGGTTAAGATTTTCACATTCTAGAACATCACCTTGACACGGAGCTTCAGCTGGGCCTAGAAAAGGCATAGGGAGGAGGATAAGAAAATTTCACACAAATAGCGAGTTTTATACAAATTACAGAACTGCAGAGGAGGCTTTAAGTAAGCAATTAGCAGTTAGTTTTTAAAATGTTTTCTTTTTGCTTGAGATTGGCAGTCTGTGATGGATAGGGCAGCAACCTGGCTCCAAAACCCAGAGACAAGTAAAAATAAATGGTAAAATTTTGTTTAAAAAGTATTTTTTATCAAAACCAGGTGTGGTGGTGTTCGCCTATAATCCCAGCACTCAAATGGCTGAGGCAGGAGGATCCTTGCTATTTCGTGACCAGCCTGGGCTATGGAAGAGAGCTCAAGTTCAGCCTGAACTGCATAGTGAGACCCTGTGTCGAAAACACAGAAAAAAAAAAAAGTATTTCTATCATAGAATGAGTAATGTTTACAGTATTCTTTTATCATTTGGAAACAAGTTACCTTTTACATACTTTAAACTTCAGGAACGATCATTCTGAAGACAAAGGTAGATAGTTCATTGCTGACACCATAGTTAATAAAAGGGATGGTGCTGAGCAATGTCAGGGAAGCTTGTTTATCAGCATTACTCTCCCCATGATGACTATGCTTGTGTGGAAGTGCTAACTGCATTAATTTCCAAGCCTCCTGGACAGCTAATGAAAGTTTTTTCACTGTCATTTGGCAGATTTATTCTTTAAAAACGCAGGCCCTAGTGGTCACATAGTTAATACTTGTCTAAAAATGGGCTTATAACACTTCTACTTTATGGAAGTTGGTGGCAGAGCAGGATAAGAATTCTGACCTCATGGTGTGTTCTGCCCCCTAAACAAAGCACAGTGGGATGTGTGCTTTATAGAGATAAAACTATTTATCTTATCTTTGAGAGAGTACATACTGAGTAAAAAAATGTACATGTGCTAAACCACGAATAAGGACACACAGGGACCTGACACAATGTGTCATTCAGCTTAGATGATAACCAAATGGGCAACTCTCAGACAACATGGAAAAATTATTCAGATCTTCTTCCTTTGCTGTTCTTCCTGGAGAACAAACTTCCTGGAGCCTAGCTACCAAGGCAAAGGGAGGTACTCCGCACCCAGGCCAACATGTGGCCTGCAATCTCTCTCTGCCTCAACCACCGAGAGATCTCGTAAACTGCCTTTCTAGGGAGAACATGAGGACAGCAGTCCTGTCTTTGTGTGCCCTGGGCTGGACAAGGTTGGCAGCCACTCCACAGATGGTGTCTCCGCAGAGCACCAGTGTAATGAGCATTGTGCCTCTTTCCTCTTCCTTGGCCAGTCCTGAGCTGCTGTAGTTGCAGGTGTTCTAAAGGCCAGTGGCCAGACAGGCAGGACACTGCTGGTACCAGTCAATTGGAACTGGTTTCTGAGGACAGTCCATGAATGTCTCAACTCTGGGGCTTTTTGAGAGATAGCATCAGCTGAATTCACCCAAGGGCTTTGTGTTGTATGGCAAGCAGAGACGGAAAATCTGGCCTCTAGTCTGTTTCAGACACTCAGGCACACACCTGAAGTTACAGACCTCTTTTTATCTTTACTACCCGCAATCTGCGTTCTGTCTTGCAGGATCTGAGAGGAGCTCCTCTGGAAGACCTAGAGACCACTTTATTACACACACATGTGCATTGCAGCAATCTGGCTCCTCCTACGTCACTTCAGGGCCAACACACTGCCCTTGGTGAAGAGTGCAGTGCAGGCGGGAGCAAGCAAGCTAACGCCCCAGAGCAGCTGGTGCTGCGCTCCGGGTGGGAGGACCAGGTGGACCCAGCCTCAAGCTGGAGTCACGAGGACTGGACACGCTGCTTCTGCCCACTTGTGCCTAGGCCCTCAGGCGAATCCCGCAACGTGGGTAAAACAACAGGAAGGATAAACCGCAGACGCCAGCTGGGGAGGGCCACCAAAGTTACTTTTCAAGGGGTGGAGATATAGCTCAGTGGCACAGCTCCTGTCTGGCAAGCGCAAAAGGTCCTGAGTTCGATTCCCGGTATCAAAAAAAAAGGAAAGCAACGAGTCAGGCGGCCGTGGTCTGCACGTCGCGGACAACCTCGCGCGGGTCCCGAGTTCCCGCGCGCGCGCCCGCCTGCAGCTGAGCCCGGCGATCACAAGGCCGAGTCATACACCCCGCCCGCCAGCCCGCTTTGTCAGCCCAGAGGGCCACGGGGGGCGGGGCTGGAGCCGGGGGCGGGGCGCGCCGGGGGCGGGGCGCGCCGGGGGCGGGGCGGGGCGTGACCCAATAAAGGCCTCGCTCCGCCCACCGCCCGGCCGCGCGCCGAGCCGAGCGGGTCCCAGGGCGCGAGCGCAGCCGAGCGCGGCAGGGCGGAGCGCACCGAGGCCAGGGCCTAGCGGGCGGCGGCGGGCGGGGTTCCGGGAGCGGTTGCCTGGGCCCGGCCGGCTCGCCCGCGCGTCCTCCCCTCCCTGCGCGCCCGCGGCCTCCTCCCCCTGCGCGCGCCCGCGGCCCGCTCTCCGCGCCCGCCCCGCCCGCCGGGATTCGAGGCCGCGGCGGCCAAGATGGCGGGTACGTGGCCTGCGCCCGCGCCCGCGTTCCCCTCACGGCGGCGGCGGAGGGCGGCCGGGCCGGGGGCGGCGGGGGCGCCGGGACGGCGCGGGCGCGGGCGCTGACGGCTCTCTCCTCTTGTCTCCCGGCGCAGACCTGTCGCTGCTGCAGGAGGACCCGCCCGACGACGCCGACGGCTGTGAGTGGGGCCGGGGCCGGGGCCGGGGCCGGGGCCGGGAGAGGGCTGGGAGGAGGCGCCGCGTCCCGCTGCCGAGGTCCGGCCTGGCGCATTGTCGCCCGGCTCTCGGCCCTGTGGGCCGGGCTCTGAGATGGGGGCGGCCCTGGCCGCGGTGGGGACCCAGGCTGAACGCGGGGTTCCGAGGTGCGGCCTCGGCGGTGCGGCCGCTGCGTCTCTAGGTGTGGCCTCACCCCAGGGGCCGGGTCCACACCGCAGGTCTTGGCCGCTCAGAGTGGTGGACCGTCTCTAACGCGCTGACATTGCACGGCTCTGAGAAATACTTGAAGTTTTGAAAGAGTCGATCCTTTGATAGACTAAAAAGAAAAAACCCACAAGTTGTTTTTACGTCGTCTCCCTCGTGGCGATGAAAACGGAACTTAGGAATTTTTAATTTTGTACGTGCTTTTCTAAGCATTAGAATAAGTGATGTTGATGACAGAAAAGACAAAGGAGCGTTAAGCAAGTGAGTATGGAAAGAAGTGACGCTTGGTGACTAACGTAAAACCCTTCCCTTTCATGCTCGTGGTCCAGAATAGAGGCAGGAGAATCATCGAGCTGTGAAATGCATGTTAGGAGCGCAGGTGTGCAAAGCGAGAGGCGTGAAGGAGGGGAGCTAGGGTCCTGCGGGGCGGGGCTGGGCTGTGCTGACTTCCACCTGTCCAGGAAAATCGGTTGGAAGCTCAGGTTGAAAGGTTGAATACCTGTGGGATAGATTCAGAGATGGCCCTGGCTTGAGATTGCTCTCTTACTACTAAGTAGTTAATCCTTAGCATTGTCCAGTGTTGCTCCCCCTTATCCAAGGCTAAACTTAATTTTTAAATGCCTGATTGTTTTTGAGTAAAAGGTTTATTATTTAGAAGGATTCTCTCCTCCTTTCCCTCGCTTTTTCCCTCTCCTTCTCCCCCTCCCCATCCCTCCCTCCCTGTCCTTCCTTCTGTATCTTTGGTAGTACTGAGACTGAGGACTGAATCCAGGGCCTGCACATGCTAGCCAAGCTCTTCACCACTGAGCTATACTCCCTCAACCACTGACCCTTTTAACTTTTGAGAGAAGAGCTCCAAGTTGCCCGGGCTGGCCTCGAACTTGTCGTCCTCCTGCTTCAGCCTCCCCAGCAGCAAGGATTAAAGGCATGCTTCATGGTGCACAGTTAAGAGTAATCATTTTTAAAGCAAATAAATCACATATAAATTTATCTATTGCTAAATCTGGTGGGGGTATATTTTCTTAGATAGCTGTCTACAAGAAGCACAACTCATGGTGAAGGATAGCTTTCCTATCACATTTAATGTTTTCCTGTAAGTTATTTAATCTGGCTAATAGTATATTGAAAATATTAGTTATAGCTGCTCTTGATTTCAGCTTTCTTACAAGGTTAGGATCTGAGAGGTGGTCCTGATTGTTATCTCTAGATGTAGCTTTTTACTGTATTTATGTTCAGGACTTTAAGATGTGACTGACAGTGGCAGGAACATAGGCATGTTCTTGTCTTCTTGATTAAGGATTCTGTACTCTGAAGGGCAAGACAGTGCAGCGACTTCACAGACTGCTGGGAACACACACTGGACTGGAAAGCAAGCCTGGAGAGCATTCAGCAGTGAGCTTGCAGACTGCCTGAACTGGGGCTGCTGCTGTGAAGAAGAAAATCACAGCCCCAGCCCTCTAGTGGTTTCCACAGTTTAAATACAGTACTGTGAGCACCAGGGGCTCTGTGGCTCCATAGTGAACAACACAGATGCCAGCCAAGTGGCCTTATAGCCTTCACAGTCTCTTTGGGCAGACTTGGGTCTCCTGTAACATCTGTGCCTCCATGTTTTCGTTTGTAACCAGGCTTCACATTACCTGTCTCATGGTTGACCAGGGCTTTACAGAATGAATGTGTGTGAGACTCAGTTCAAACCTGCTGGGGAGTGGTGATTGCTGTTTTGAGTAGGGAGCAAGGGTGACATAAAAAACAAAGGAGGTACTGATGTTGAAGTGTATACCACAGCACTGATCTACTTGGAAATGCTGCTAGGAAATGATGCATTTAACTTTTTTTGACTGTTCCCTGTCTGTGTTAATGTAGGCTAAAACCTTACACATTTGAAAGTACAAGCCTGTTAGAATAGCTGCTGCTGTGTCTCAGTTGCTAAGGTTTTTATAGGCCATACCCAGAATATTCAGGGACAGAGGGTCTTTGAACATATGGTCAGTTGAAGGATCACTTGTCATCTTTTGTAAAGGGAGAATGAGTGAACAGGAGATCTGGTCATGGTACCTACATCCAGGCAAGGTGGTTACTAAGGATTTTTGTCACATCCAGAAGAAGCTGGAGAAGGTGGCCGGGAGGTGTGAGGTGGTGGAGAGAATGGAGGGCAGGCTGCGCTTAGGGGAGTTTAGAGCAGGAGTTTCTCTGTGCATCTCTTCCCACTCTGCCAGGCTAGCTTGGAGCCGGCCCTGGTGTTGGGAAGAGGTTACTTTCTGGTCAACTCTGCAACCTGATTGCCTTTTCTGAATGCAGAACCTAACTGGTGACAAGTGAGTAACCTGTAGCTATGGTGACAGGAGAGAATGCAGATAACAGGATTCTGGTTTTTTTATTTGTTTCAAGCCCCAGAGTCTGTGCACAGTTAGTAGAGTTGGTGAAAGAGTTGATCAAAGACTGATTTGGCTGATAACCTTAGAGATGAAAAAAACCCAATTCTAATATGTAAAAAATGGATATATTATATATCAGAAAGTCATAACTATAAGTAAATAAAATCATCAAGTACTATACAAATTAAGTCCAGGACAGTAATAAAATACTTTAAGGTTTAAGAGTGATATTTTTAGTAGTGTATCATGAAATTTATTTTAGATTTGAAAGTGAAAGCAAACCAGGGGTCTTGTTTGCCTTGTATAGATGTCTCAGCAAATTGAGAGTTGGATAAATGAATTTATTACTTACTCTAGTCCTTGAATAATGGGAGGCAGTACAAAACTATAGACTTTTAGATAAAGTTAATTTCAAATTTTAAGTATTCCAAAGATGCAATTTTGATTTTCATTGAAGTTGCTAGATTTCTAAGATGACTGAAATAGGAATTAAAATAAGGTAGGAGTCTGTGAACTTGGGGCTGAAGGTTTAGCTCAGCGGCATAAGCACCTGCCTTGGAAGCAGGCAGTCATGATTTCGATCCCCGGTATTGATAAAAAGGAAAAAGACAAAAAAAAAAAGAGTCTATGAACTAATATGTAAAAAATAATTTCATTGAAGGAGTTTGACTAAAATACAAACTTTTATTATAATAAGATATTGAAGACTTTTAAGTAATGGTTTTATGACATGCAATAGTTTAAAGTGAACTTAATATGCATATTAGTCTTCCCAGTGGTTGTGTGATATGTAGGCTGTGGTATTCTGATACTGATAAATAACTCAGTTGATGCCCAAAGGGACTAAATTATTTTCTCAAGGAACACAACTCTTAAATTCAGACAGAATTTTAACCTAGGCCTTATGATTGTAAGTATTGTCTCTTAAGTTATGCACTTTTCAGCACTGAATGGCCCAGACCTATAGACAATTTCAAGAAATGAAAATGAATCTAGGCTGCTGCAAGCTCCAGGGGAGGCTGGAGTTTGGGTATAATATAGTTTATTTAGTCTGTGTACTAAGCATGATGTTGAAGAACTTGTGAAACTGTATGATGGCATGTGTCATGTCACAGGTTTTTCATTGTTGAAGTTGTGGAATGTAAAAGGCATGACTGTATCCTGGACTGGAGTGCAGTGTTGAAGCAGTGTGTGGAAATGCTCTAGAACCTGCCCTGGCTGCCCCTCCCACAGCTTTGGAAAACTAGCCCTGGGCCCCAGGGAGTGGAAGAGTAGAGGACTGGGGCTGTGCCCATTAGCAGCCAGTGAATCATTGGGAATTTCTCAGAAGGTGCCCTTGAGTGTGATGGTATTTAGTTGTTATTCAGCAGGGATTGAGAGAGTGAGTCATGAGATGATGGGAACGTGTTGCGATTGCTACCAACAAGATAAGACAGAAGAAATCTTTACTTAGGAGTTGCACAGTTGATATTCTAGAACAGAGTACTTTAAAAATGGATTTAGTGGTATCCATCTGTGCGTAGACTCAATTGCAATGCAAATAGTTCCTTACATAGAGCCATAAGAAAGACAAAAGAGGAAATCCCTTTACAGCTATGCGCAGGCTTATAGCTACATGAAATGCAGCAAATGAAACAAAAAAGAATACCAAAACTAAATGCATAGTTTTGTTCTTGCCTATGAAAGATAAGCAGACTTTTCTAGGTAAGGTGCAGCAGTTGTTTTTGGTATTTCTGGTCCTTTTGTCTCAGTCTTTCTAAATCCATTCCCTGCCTGCTAACTGGGACTCTTAGAAACTAAGATGACTTACAGGTTTGAGTCAAAGACCTGAGAAGGAGGAACCTAAGGTGACCTGCCAGCTGGAAAAATCTGTGCTAAAAGCAGGGCAGACATTACAGAGATGACAGAGAGCACAAGGTTTTAACATCCAGGTCCAAAATCCCATAGGTGTGACACCCACTTTTTGCTTGACACATGAAATGAGTTGGCATTTTTTTTGTGTGGTTTGAATTTGCATTTTATTAATGCAATAATATTCATTTGTTTGTGTGTCCATTTAGTTTCTTCTTAAGAGAAGTTCACATCCATTCACATCTGTTGCTCATCTTTTCATTGGATTATATTCTTAGTAAGTTTTGAGAGTTTGTTACAATTCCAGCTACAGGTCCTTTCTCAGATATGTGGTTTGGAGATATTTTCTAATGTGTGACCTTTTTCAGTCTTAGTGGTACTCAAAAAGCTGAAGTTTTGAGTTCCGATTTTCATCATTCTCTCAGATGTTTTTTTAACAGATTAAGTTACCTGAGTTCCTGAGAGCTTTTCGGAAATTAGGCATTGTTGGATTTTCGTCAAATTTTCTCTTTGTTGGAAAGGTTATATATATA